CGCGCCGCCGATATTGAGTTTACTTAACAGCGACGATTTACGTCGCCGGTATTTTTAATGTCCGGCAGTTAAACGACCGTCGCTATTACTGGCGGTCTATATCTAGAAAACCACCGGGTGAGCCGCCGGTATTAACCGGCGGTGAGACCGCCTGGCAAACCTCCGATAGTACCGGCGGCCATATAACTGCCGGTCAAAGCCGTCGGTATTGGCTATTTTTCCTATAGTGCAACCAAAATGAGCATGTAACATCAAAGGTTACCACGAGCCATGGCTTAAGACAAGTGAGCCCACGCCACATCATTGCCCATAAACCATAACTCGCAGTCAAAACAACCCACGTCGACAGCCAATAGAGAGAGAAAGCTATCCAACTAGACCAGCCAAACAACACCACCAAGAACGGGCCAAGCTAAATGAAAACCGACAAGATAACCACCACCACAACTTAGAGCACCAATGCACCAGCACAAAGTGCATCCAGCAAAATAGTAATAATAAAGCCCAAGTGCAACCAAAATCAAAATAGAAGGCAGCCAAACACCAAAAAAACAAAGGGAACCAAAAGGGATGAAAGTTAACGACCCCTTCTATCCCTCCCATGAGCCTTCCCACGAGAAACAACCGGTTTGTCACGCTGCAAATCCTTCCCGTTATCAACAACTCCAAAAGACTCAGAAGAAGAAACGGACTCGGATTCATACTCTGATGAACATTGAAGCTAATCCAGATGAGCCCTCACATCCATTCCAGAATTATCTCCCACATGATACACCATAGCTTGAGGCTCAATTAATCAACTGGAACATCAACAACATCGAGTCCACCTTTTAGATCAGTGGGAGAGGCAGCAAGGGAGGAAACAGTTTATGGGAGAGGCAGCATGTATGTTGAAAGGGTTAGTAACAGTGTTTTTCATCCCATATAACATTAGTGACATTTAAGGATAAAATTTAATGACATGACTTAGAAAACGTAGATTTAGGATGTTTTTACCCTTTAGGAAGTAAAATATTAAACATAAAAAACATAGTGACATCTCACTTTAAAATTAGTGAATACCTTTAACCTAAGTGCAATGAAACTTAAATTATAATCAAAATTAAATAATAAATCAATCTTAAAAAAATGGAAACTGCAATCAATCAAATAACATACAATAACATTAATATTAAAGTTAAACATAAATATTGAAATATTAAAATCATAAATGATTAAATTAAAATAAAAAAATTAATAAAATTTTATAACAAATTAAACGAATAATATTAAATAAAATTTAAAGAGAGGTTAAATAATAAATTATAATCAATTATATATATAATAATAATAATAAAAAAATGATTAAATAAAATATCCTAAGTAACTAATCTTATTAAATAACCTTAATAGTTAAAATTCAATTTAAAATAAAGTTCAAAAATACTAAAGTCACTAAAATTTAAGTTCGAATATAAAATTCCCATGGATTTTTCAACAAACTAAATCTAATCAATTATAAAACTTTAACTAATAATAAACTTAGGATATATCGATATCACACAGCCTACTGCTCACACTTAGATTTGTTTACTAGAACAATATAATCTAGCTTTAGGTTAGGTCGATATTTACTTTCTTGCTAATGTGTGATGGGCTTTCTTGTAGTTTTTCACTATATGCTAGTTGTAATGATTGATGTATTTGTTTATTTACTTACTCTTGCAATCTGAGAATTGATGTGATGGATGATAGATTACCCTTAAGCTAGGAATGATCTGGATGTTCATAAAATTTTATGCATGTGGACATGTTCATATAGGGCTAAATCAAAGGGGACAAATTAAATATTTAAATTGATAAAAATTTCCTGTAAGTGCAAAATGCTAAGCCCCCTTTAAAATTAAAAGAGCATGATCAAGTGTGAATAGTGAATTTTAAGTTAAATGTAAATATATAACTGCTTTGGATGATTTTATTATAAACTGTTTAGGATAACCCTACAGGTGATCTAATTTTTTTTTATATGTGAAATGTAATATAAATCTATTTTAAAAAAGTTATAATATGAAAGTAACTTAAAAGTGAGATATCGCATCAAACTTGGAATCCAAAGAGAAGAGAATATCCCTTAGGGGAATGTTCTCTTCTATTTAGAAACCCAAGTTATTATGACTTCAAAATCCAAAGGGAAAAGAAAATACCCCTTCGGGGATAAATTTCTTTTCATTTGGATATCCAGACCCAGCGAATTCAAGAAACTCATAGATGGAAAGAAGGCTAAGGAGAGAAGACGAAGAAGTGAAGAAAAGAAGATATATCCCATTTTAAAATCACTTGCATTAGTTTTAGGATTAGAATCCAGGTTTGTCGTTAGTGGTACCCGGCCACTTTATGCAAATTTTGGGTCATAAATAAAATAACACTTGCCATATAAACTTTGAATATTATATTTTGGATAATTTAATTTGATTATTAACATTATTTGTGTAGTACAATTATCTATTTTTTAGGTTTTCTTACATACCATATTTATTTTAGCCTAGATACGATCGGAGTTTTTGTGAGGGTACGAATAAAATTTTTATACTTAAAACTCTAGTAAAATTCTTAGGATCACATACAAATTCTAACAATTTAAGAAGTAAGCTCGGAACCGCCGAGAGTTAGCATATGCATATTATTACTTTCTTCTTCTTTAATATGCACCTCCCCACCTACGGGTTCTAGCATACCACCTGTCTTATTAGGGTGCAGTTCTGTCAAGTGGATGTTGTGAAATTTATAGGGAAACATGATTTTTTTAAGCATGATTTTAAAATTGTTTCATAATTATTTTATGCATTCGAGTCAATCAGCATGCATTGCATTAGATATAGATTAAAAATAGTCTAAAATTTTAATTATATTTTATTTTCAGGCATCATTCACCCTACATAAGTTGAAGGGCCAATTAGGATTTATCTTACATGCCGGCCTCTAATTCCTCAAAACTAAAATAATAACCTTACCCATCTTTCATGAAGAGACCAGACACATGGTTTTAAAGTGTCTATGTGGTTAGCTGGCTCCCTAATCCAGGCCTAGGTAAGTCCATATTTACACTTCATTAGATAGGTTCGGGTTACTATTTTATAGTAATCAATTTAGATTTAGGTTATGAGGCTAATTTTTAAATCTTAAGTCTTCACCCTTCAGGAATAATATATATATATATATTTTTAAGTTTTATAAGCTTATGTTGAGCTTTTTTAAATAATTGATCATAAATCTTAAACAGTAATTTATGGAACATTTCAATCATGAAATCACTTAATATATAAAATTAGTATTTTTAATCTTAAATTTATTAATATATAAAAATTAGCTCATAAACACCATCAACTAATGGTGAAAGCAATCTCTCATTATTGATAATGAAAAGCATAACACTGATAAGAATATAGGTATAAATTGACATTTCTCTCATAAATAGCTTTAATTTCTCCCAAAAATTTATATCAAATATTTGTTCTTACTACCACCTTTTGTGAATCAACCACAATTAAGATTTATAAATCATAACATGTCTCTCTCCCACTCTATACTTATTTTGTATATCCCCATCTCATTCTCTAAACATTAATTCGCTTGGGACGGCTTTCTTAATGCTTCTTAAAGCAGATTTATAGCACAAAAATTAGAAAGTTGTTTTAAGAAATAATAAGAAAGTCATCCCAAACGAAGTCTAAGTCACTTAAACTCTCACAAAAATTATTCTATTATGAATAGACAAATAAATATAAATTATTAATCGCACATGTAATTAATTTAAAATTTTTGTAGTTATTTAGCTAACATCCTCAAAATTCCCCACAATTTGTTACTGAAGAAAATCCATCAATCCATTTCAATAAACCTTCTATCATATATATGTCTCGAAACCCTTAAAGTACGTAGTCACAAGCTTTTGTATTCCTCCAACTTTAAAACTTCTACCACTACTCTACAAACCCTTGAAATCTCTTAGAGTTTATTTGGGACAATTTTCTTGCCACTTAGCTTTTCAAATCACAACCACATATTAATTCTGTTATTTTATTGTTTTGTCACTTTTTTCAATAAAATTTTGTGCTAGGAAGCTACTTTATACAACAATTTTTTAAGAAGTTATCTTCCCATTAATGATTTTATAATTATTAAAAAAAAAGTACAGCAATTCCAACAGACCCTTAAACAAATCCCCATCAATTTCTCTTATTTGTAAACATCCCAAATCTAACGTCAATTTTAGGTGAATGGTAGCCACCTTATAGTGGTGGTGGTCCAATGGAACCTACCATGTGTGACATCTAGCTCCTATCAATAATATGATCCTTTGATTGATCTCAGAAGTGCATCAATGGTGAAATATTGATGTTTTTGAAGGTTACATTAATACAACTGATTTTGAGATGACATCTATTTTGTAATATAGTCAGTAAAACTTTGATATTAATATTCTTTCAAATGTCGTACATGGACGATAAGCTCCTCCCTTAAAATTAGAATTTTGAGACAAATGCATCATAAACTTAATAACTTATGAAGTAGGTGTAGCAAGTCAAGAAATTAAATATGAGCCTTTTAACATATTGGATTACATAAAAAGCACATATGATCAATTCAATCAAATGCCATATGCATACTACTTGTGGCAAGGTTGCCAATGCCAAAACTGAGGAATGTCCCCTCCCCCTTCCTTTTACATGCAGTTATCAAAGAAATTAAGAGTAGCGAGTTAGGAATTACTACATCCTAAATTGGTCTAAATTGTCGTGAAATAGGCTATTATGATTTTTTTTTTTTTATCTTTATTGGATCTTATGTAAACATCGTCAAAGTTGTTGTTTTGAGCTGGTTGCACAGTTAATTTATCCACGAGAAAATCTTGCCAAAATGTTCTTTAGAGAAAAGCTGGAAGCCAACGCTGATGATACATACACAACCACAAAATATTTCATAAATGCGATATAGATATACAATCAATATTTTTCCTTCGATTTTATACTTCCTTAGCAGTGTTCTGACCAGCATCTTTAATATTTTTTTATCAGCAGATCTTCATAAATAATATAACAAAATTCTTATACATTTTGATTTGATTTATGTTTTAAAATGATATGTAATTTTGTGGTATGCATGTAAATTCCCCCCTTTATATATATCTTATTTACCAACGTCATGCAGCATCGAATTGATTGAAAAATATAGATGAAATATTGATCGGAATGCGTTTTTTTACTTTTGTAAATTTCCTCAAATTAAATCTATGAACTTTAATCAGAATATCGGAATCACTTTGCTCTTCCAATCCAGCAAAAGAATTTGCGCTTAATTAAGGAAAAAAAATGCACTTATTGATGCATCCATCATTCTTTATATACAGAAACATAAATGAAATCAATGAAAAGAATTAAAGAAGAAAAAAAAATCAGCAACAGAGAAGTTAAGCAGAGTTGCCGAAGTCTTTGTCTTCGTCTTCGTCGAACCGGAAGGATGAAACAGAGGAGCGGCGGCCGCGGGAGAAGGAAGAGGACGAGAGGCTGCGGCTGAGCTGGCGAGCGTACCGGACGACGGCGTGAGCCCAACGGCGAATCTCTCTCTTGAACCGAATCGGGTCCTGCTCACGCAGCGGCTGCTCTATCTTCATATCCAGCTCAGTCAAGTAACTAACATATTTCACCTTCTTCTTCCCTCTTTCCTCTTCTTCTTCCTCCAGCTGATCCCGCAAACCATCTAAACCTTTCTGATCTTCTCTTCCTTCCATCTCTCTCTCTCTCTCTCTTTCTCTGTGAGTCGATGGCTTTTTATAATAGACTTCTTTCGGAGTCTTTGGTGGCTTCTTTTTCTGGTAAGAAACAAGGACACGGGAACGCAAGAAACCGTGGGAATTCTCAGCACGCTCGGTGTTCCTCTTAAGTTTAGGCCTGAGAATAATAGAATTCTAAAAAAAAATATACCTTATTAATTAAAAATGTTTTGATTTATTAGTTAATTAAGATAAATTTATATACCGATCACATACAAAAGATTCAAATTTCAAAAAATTTTAAATGGGACCTTCCCAAAAATTAAAATGAGCTGCATGCATACTTTTGAATTATTTGATTGAATATAGTGTCAATATAAAAACAAATTATTTCAACAAAGAAAACATAAAATATTTACATTTTATTATAATCAAAATTTGATGATATCCTCACATATTTTTTTTCTTTTAATTAAATAGTTTTTTTTAATGGATAGGATTTGGTTTAAATTTTGGCTTTTACTTAGAGTGTGATTTCTAAGATTTCATGATGGAGTCAACACTATATATAATCTTTTGATTTGGCCCACTTTAACACACGTGTAATTTGGAAAAAATAAAGCCAAATTTGATTGCTCCGAAATGAACAACTTGATTTGATTCTTGAAATACATGAATTAACAACTAAATTGGGTTCTTAATCAATCATTCTAGATTTTTTGAACATCTAAAATTAAGACATCCTTCATGGTAACTTTTTTATTAGTTTCTAAACATTTTTTTACATAAAAAGTTATAGTTTAATAAATTTTTATATTCAAAAGTTTTTTGAAAAACAGTTAAAAAATCATCCCAATCGAAGCCCATAAATTATTGTTACTGAACTTGAAAAAATTTTAAATTTTGTTTGAGTTGGTTATATAAAAAAATATTATTACTTTATTTATTCTGTATAATTCAATGATTAATTAATTGTATGATTTTGTGGGGAATTTAATTGTATGATTTGACCTAAAGTTCGAAATAAAAATATATCAAAATGAATATTCTAACCGAATTAATCCACAAGTAAAACATGCGAAGGAATTTCCATATTCAATACTTGTAATATATATTCTTTACTTGAAGCTTAAGGCACGGAACCAACTGCTTATTTGAAACCAAATGAGCAAACTGATTACAGTAACGTCAAAGCTTTCATTGCTTAATTGCGTATTCTGGCTTGTTACTGAATTAGGTAGTCCAATTCAAATCTAATATTAATCTTTTTTTAAATAACCTATTTGTTCTGCATATTTATTCTGCAATTTCTTGAAAAATCACCCATTTTTAATTATCCCAAAAAATCAAACAATTGCACTCCCCGAGATAATTAATTTATATTTTACATGTCACGAAAAAAAAAATCATTCAACCATGTTAAATTTTAATATTATTTTTTAAATCTCAAAACAAGTATTCAAATCAAAAATATTTAGAATGGACTTCAAATTCATATGAACTCAATGATATCAAGAATAACTTAAGAGAGAGATGTCAAAATATTGATTATAAATCTCCAAAAAATAAAAACAAGGAGAAAATATCATAAAGCAAAAAGAAATCAAAGTAAAAGCAACTATAACAACAAATATGAAAAGCTAACACAAAAACTAATGCATAAAATAATAACACTCAATAGAGTAGTAAGCATGCAATTCAAAATTTTATTTAGTAGCAAGTTTAAGCAATTTATGAGCCACGAGCCTTTGTCCAAGTATAATATGCTCTCACAAGGTCTTTGGTGAGAGCACACCTGCAAAATCATCAAATATCAGATTTAGAAATCCAAATAGGTTTGGGTTCCTTCTTATGAAAAGAAGAATGTGATGCATGAGTGTTATGCAGTGAATTATGCAATTTGGGTCTCCACACTCAATGTGTACTACTATGAATGGTGTAAGTATGTGCTATGTATTCTAACATGACACATGAAAAACATCTAACTCTAGGAAAAGAATTTCTTAATCGGTTCGGGTTATAATGCCTCTTCCTAGTTATTGGCTTTGGATCAAATGTGGGTGTCATCCAATTCTTCTCAAGTGTATTCAATTTTCCTTTAAATCTCAAGTGAGCATTTTCTAAATCAATCTCCAAACAGTGCTTTTTATGCTCATATTTTTTAATAGAAGCTTTAAAATCAGATTCAAGCGAGGTGCAGGAAGCTTTCAAAGAATCATACTCAATTATAAATAAAGAATACCTTTTATTTAAATAATCAAATTCATCAAGTAGAGACATGTGATTAATATCAATTTGAATGTGATCTTTACTCAAAATTTCATGATCTTTTTGTCAGTTCAAAAACTCAAATTTCAAACTAGCGTGAGTTTTCTTAAGTTTTCTATATAATGCATGAATTTTCTCTCATATTTTAAGCAATTGGTCATAGGTTGGTTGGCATACTTCTTCTTGGTCAGATTTTTCAAAATCATCAGCCATTAAGCACAAGTTTGTTGTCTCCTCTTCAAGTTTAGTCTCAGATGAGTCATATGCAGACACAGCCCAGAAAACTTTTTGGACTCGCTTCTTATCCTTTCTGAACTTAGGGTTCTTCTTATTCTTTTCTTTGCTTGAGTGATCCTGAAGTGTAGTACAATCAGCTTTGACATGTCCAGGCTTCCTGCATTCGAAACAAACAACATCAGAAGAACTTTTAAAATTTTTGTTATCCTTACCTTTTCTCCAATTTTGATGATGCTTATGACTCTTCCTTCGAAAGTTTTTGAATTGCCTAGTGATGAAGGAACTTTATCACTTTCAGACCTGGAGGAGTCAGTGTTCGAGTTATTCGCCTTAAGTGCTACCGTTTTCTCCTTCTTCCTCTCACCTACATAAAGATTTCTTTGTTTCACCCCTTGCTCGTAAGCAATGAGTGAACCAAGTAAGTTATCAATCGAATAGGCATTTAAATCTTAGGATTCAATAATTGCAGTGATTTTATCATCAAAAGAGGAAGGTAAGCATCTCAAAATTTTGTTGACTTTTTCATAATTAGAGAGTTCTCTTTCTAAGGCATGCAACGAAGTAACAATATTAGTAAACCTTATATATATTTCAAAAATCATTTCATTAGGTTTCATACGAAAAGTTCGTAATCATGCAATAAAATATTCAAACGAGATTGCTTAACTTCATTAGTGTCTTCATAGGTGATAAAAATTTATCCCAAATCTCCCAGTAGTGCAAGTGGGAACATGCATGTAATCTTTTGATTTTAAAACACAGAAAAAAAGTTCAAACACTTTGTATTAAGTTGTATTAAATCTCTTTCATCAAAAGTTCATTCAGTAAAAGGTACGTCAATTTTAATTCTATTAAGTTCACGAGAAGGTGGAGAATATCCTTCTTTAATAAGCATCCACATACGATAGTCAATTGATTGTAAAAAAGTGGACATGCGAATTTTTCAAAAATCAAAAGGAAGATTATCAAACAAAGGTGGTCGTGTTATAGAATATCCTTCCATTGCATTACGATTATCGTTGTTAGCCATGGATCAAAATTCAAAAAGTTTTTAAACTTAATTTTTATAAATCCCGCTCATATACCACTTGAAAGTTCATTAGGGATGTTAAGCCCTTAAGAACTAGCCCGAGGCTAACTAAGAGGGGGGGGGGGAATTGGTATTTAAAAAAAAAAAACTTTCTTAAACTAAAGCACAATCACAAACCAAAATCACCACATAAATCAAAGTACGAAAAAATAAATGTGAAAATAAAATAAAGAAGGATCACACCAAATTTATAGTGGTTTGGTCAAACCTTGACCTACGTCCACTCCTCGGAGGCACCCTCCGAGTATTGCACTAACTAAGTTACTCTCCTTTTTCCCCCACAACAAGGCGGAGAAGCCCTCACAAAAACTTCTTTATGCTAACCCCAATGAGGCAGAGAACCCAACTCCTTTTACTTCCTCCTAAAGTAGGCAGAGAACCCAACTCCTTTTACTTCCTCTTGAAGCAGGCAGAGAACCCAACTCCGTTTTCTTCCTCCTGAAGCAGGAAAAGAACCTTGACCAATTGCTGAAGCTTACCTCCCCTAAATCCCCAAGGACAAAAGACGAAGACTGGAGAAGACGCCTTAGAACCTTTCTTGGAGAAACCTTTATGAATCCCTCTCACAAACTCCCCCTCATAAGTTCCTCCCTCTCTCTCCCTTTCTCTCCCTCTCTTCTTAGCTCTCTTAGGTCAAGATAGCAGCTAAAGGTCTTTTTGCATGAGAAAATTTTGGTCCTTTAAATAAAATTTTAAGAACTGACATTATCGTCCTGGATGATATTTTTATCGTCCTGTACAATATGTACAAATTAAGCTCAATCAACCGGGATGATTTGGGATGATGAGAAGAAAGTTGGTTACATAGTCCAGGCTGATACAATATTTTCTTGGCCGATTAGTTCAAATTCGGGTACAATCATTCTTAACATCGCCCTGAATAGAGTCTGACCATTATCAGTCATCCAGGACATCGTCCTGGCCGATCATGCGATCGGCCTCGATGATGTGATCGAATTAATCAACCTTAATTGCTTTTCATAATTACCAGATTAATTTAGGCATAATTATGATGTATCGTCCAAGATGATGTAATGGATCGTCCTGGCCGATGTCCAAAAAAAGAAATTTTACCTAAATTTATCTGACGATTGATTCCTTCTGATTTGAGCTTATCTTCATGGCCGATATAAGGATCCTCCAGGATGATGTGCTTAATGGCGGCTGCCTTAACCAGGATGCCCTAATTAGGATTTCTATTTTTAGTCGGATCGTCCTGGCCGATATGAACATCGTCCAGGCTGATGTACTCAAAATAGAAAAGCACAAAAAACCCCTAAAGTGTGTGTGTGCAAGGTTACTTAGCATCAGGAACCACATTTACATTTGAATCAAAAAAGGAAAACATTACAGACTGACTCAAACTAAATCTACCCAATCTTGAGCTGGTCTTGAGTTGCGCTCGATCTTGTGGACCTGAAAAGTTAATAGTCAAGGTAGCCGTAGAAAAATATGAATGTTTGTTATCATCAAAAGTCTAATCCATAATCTCATATTCGCAACAAGGTAGACTAGAATTGAGTTAGTCTGTAATTCCTATTCGAATGCATCTTTTATCTTTTCTTGAGTCAAATGTATTATGATGGATCCTAAAGCTAAGTAATCATGTATACACACACTCAGGGGGAGAAATTTGGTGAGTTAGTTATCTTATTTTTTATCATAGCGCACAAGATGATTTCTAATCGTCTTAAACATTCAGTTAAAAATAGAAACCATAATTAAGACATCATATTAAGATGAGTTAATTAACTAATCATACTGGATGTTCAAGATTATCCAGAACAATCAGTCACATGAATGAAATTCAGTCGCCAATCATATTTTAGGCATGTTTTTTATATTGTAATTTTTGTATAATCATCCTAGATGATCAACGTCATCCTAGATGATGAAAGACAATCATGCCTAAATTGATTAGGTGATTAAGGAAAGTAATTAAAGTTAGATTAATTGATTATATCATACAAGATAATTACAGGATCATCCTGAACAATCTGTAAGAAAAACTTTAGTTCTCTCCTGAATCTCCTGGACATCCCGAACTATCTGTAGGACCATATTATGTGATTTTTAACTAATCATATAGGATGATATCTACATCATTCTGGATGACCAATTATATTTCTATATCATCTCGAGTTATTTTCTGGATGTCCCGAACTATCTACTAGATGATAATGTATGTTTTTGAACTAATCATACAGGACGATGTCCATATATTTCTAAATGATTAGAACAAGCATTATGTTCTAATCATATAACAAACCTAGATTGTCATGGCTGAGAGGGATGATTTAAATAAATCGTACAGAACAATATTTGATGGCAAGTTAAAAATTAGGGCATTTTTTAAGGCCTTCTATTTAAGCTCTCTTAATTACTGATAATCAAATCTTTTGATGTTGTCCTGACCTGAGAGAGCCTAGAGAAGGCGAAGAAGAGCTTGGGAGAGAGAGAATATTGTGAGGTGGAGTTTATGTGGTGTTCACAAAGTTTGTTCCAACCAAGGATTCAAGTTGTTATCTCCATTCGTCTTCCTTGGCTCCTTGGTGGCTCTAGGGAGGTCTTCATCAGCATTAGATCAAGGTTATCTTCCTGTTTTAGGAGGAAGCAAAAGGAGTTAGGATTCTCTACCTACTTTAGGAGGAAGCAAAAGTAGTCTGGGTTATCTACCTCATCGGGTTCAGTGAAAAGAATTTTATAAGGGCTTATTTGCTTTGTTGTGGGAGCAAAAAGAGAGACACTACAATTTTAGTGCAATACTTAGAGTTGTTTCAGAGGAATGGACATAGGTCAGGTTAATCGAACCACTATAAAATTTGATGTGTTCTTTCTTATTACTTTCCCATATTTTAACTTTCACACTTTAATTTTCTATGGTTGATTATATGGTTAAAGTCTTTGATTTGTTTTATTAACCGCTTATGCATTAAAGATTAATCTTGTTTATTTTAAAAGATTTTAAAAAGATTTTGCCTTTTATTAGGGGTGTCAATTTTAGACACGACCCGAAACATGACTCAAACCCGATCAGAAAAAATTTGGGTTAGGGTCAACCCAGACCCAAAATGGGTCCGATTTGAGTTCAACAAATCAACCCATTTTTAAAATCGGGTTGGATTTGGGTTTACCCGAATAGCGCCGGGTCAGTTCTGGGTTTGACCCGAACCTGATCCGTTGACCCGAATCGACACTCCTACCTTTTATTTAAGAATTTTTAAAACCACCAATTCAACCCCCCTCTTGGTTAGCCTCGGGTTAGTTCATAAGGGCTTAACAACCCTAATAAACTTTTATGTGGTATTAGAGTGAGGTTCATAAAATTAAGTTTTAGAAAAATTTTGAATTTTGATCCCCGGCTAACTTTGGAAATAAAAACACCGTAGAAGGGTATTTCATTACTCAACTTCCCTTATTTAATAATATACTATTTGATTTCTGGAAAACTCGCATGTCCATCTTTTTACAACCTATAGTTTATCACATGTGGATACTTGTAAAAGAAGGTTATTCTGCACCAACACGTGAAATAAATGGCATCAAACTAAATTTTTTTTTAAAATGAACTTTTGATGATAAAGATCTAACATAACTTAATGCAAAATGGTTAAACTATTTTTCTATAAACTAAAATATGAAGATTACATGTGTTTCAACATATACAACTGGTAAAGAAATCTGGGATAGATTATATATTACTTATGAAGGTGTAAGTGAAGTTAAGCAATATAGGTTGAATATCTTACTTCATGACTACAAACTTTTTCGATGAAATATAGTGAGTCAATATCTTAAATATATATTAGGTTTACACAAATAGTCAACTCATTGCATGCCTTAGGAAGAGAACTAATAAACTATGAAAAAGTTAGCAATATTTTAAGATGTTTACCTTCTTTTATTTTAATGCAAAAATTATTGTCATTACTGAGTCTAAGGATTTGAATGTTTATTCAATCGATAACTTACTTGGATCACTAATTGCAGCAAGGAGTGAACCAATGGCAACTTGATGTAGGTGAGAAGAAAAATGAGAAAACTATAGCCTTAAAAGCTAATGATTCGGACACTAATTTTTCTAATTCTAAAAAATGATGATATATGTTGCTTTAATTACTAGGCAATTCAAGAGCTTCTTAAAGAAGAAACAAAAGCCCTATCATAAATGGAACAAAGGTATGAATAGTAAGAATTCTAAAGATTCTTCTGATATGATTTGCTTTGAATAGAGGAAGCTGGGACATGTAAAAGCTGATTGTCATACACTTAAGGCTCACCCAAGTAAGGAGAAGGATGAGGAGAAAACTAAGTTTAAGAAGGGCAAGCTAAGAACCCAAAAGGCATTCTAGGCAAATTTTGTATCTGACTCCTCTAAACAACAAATTTATGTTTGATGGTGGATGACCATAATGGTCACTCTAACCAAGAAGAGTTATGTGAATTAACATACAATCAATTACTTGATGTTTCTAAAAAAATTCATTCATCTTATAGAAAGCTTAAAAAATTACATGCTAGCCTGAAACTAAAATTTTTGAACTTATAAAAAGAGTATGAAATTTTGATTAAAGATTATTCTACACTTAATAGAAATCATTTGACATTATTAGATGAATTTGATGCTTTGAACAAAAAGTATTTTGAATTGACTTATGAGCATGATTCCCTAAAAAGTTTACATGTTGAGCTAGAAACTGAATATAAGGACTTAGATACACTTGTAACTGATTTAGATGATAGGGAGCATGTTTTGAAAATAGAAATTTCAATTCTTGAATATTCAAATAAGTTTTTAGAAGCTCAATTAACTGCTTTTAAATAAAATAAAAAACTACCCACAATGCTTAAGTTTCACAATCTATCAAATCAGCATACATCAGTCAAACCTAGGAAGAGGCACTATAACCCGAGTGTTGTAAATCTATTTTCATGACTTATATTTTGATGATTGACAAACACAACTGATTCTCTTAGACTGCCTGTTACTTCTAAATTTTCAGGAACCGAGGATCGGACGAACAAACGAAGCCAGTTCAAGATTGCGTAGGTTTAGGGTTGAGTCAGTCTGTACTTTGTTTTTTTCTCTTCTTGAGTCTATTTGTAATGTTCAAAGAGACTGATGCTAAGTAACCATACACACACACACTTGAGAGACTTAGAATTTTTGTTTTTACTCATATCGGCCAGGACGATATTTACATCGTCATGGACGATTGGGCTTAAAATAGAAAATCTAAACAAGGATTCTTAATTAAGGTAGCCGTCATCAACATATCATCCTGGACGATACGTGTATCGGCCAGGATGATAAGCTCAAAATAGAAAGAAATTACTGCCATAGACAATTAAGGTATTATGTATTTTTTAATAATCGGCCAGGACGATCATTGATCGGCCTGGACGATATTCACAAATTATGCCTTAATTGATCAGGAAATCAAGGGAGTAATTAAGGATGATTGATACGATCATATCGTCCTGGACGATCGCAGGATCGGCCAGGACAATCTATTCAAAAATCTTAGTTACTTCTGGACGATAAATATCGGCCAGCTCAAATTCAGGGCGATGCTCTGGATGATTTTCCTCTGATTTGAACTGATCTGCCGGGACGATCGTGAGATCGGCCTAGACGATCAAGCAAATTTTAAATCATCCAGTTTGCATTCAGGGAGATGCTCT